CAAGCTATAAAAAAGTGAAAAGTGGGAGCAGTATTTGAATAGCCTCAGGAGAAGAGGCGTCTTTAATAAGACAAGAAACTCAGAAGCCATAAAAAAAGGAGAGATTTTACTGTCTCAGCGTTAACTATTTATTATGGTTATGGTCATAAGCATAGTCAAAAATACACAATCAACTTGGTAGAGATATTTGTATTACAGATGACGATATATGCCCTAATTTAAAAAGAGCTCCTACATTTGAGAAAAGAAGAAATCAGACAAGCACGGCTATTTAGAGGGGACCTCCGAGAGGCCAGCAAGCATGAACGTAAACATCACCTCATTGAGATCGGGTGTGTAACAAAATGACAGCGCGCTGCATTTTTCAATGTTCTTCTGGGAATTATAAGGGATCAGTCACACCCAGTGTAGGCAGGATTATGAAATGCAGCAGTCTTTTGGGGAAAGAATCTGGTACTATCCTAAAATAAAAGACTTTTGACATAGTAATTCCACTTCTGGAAATGTAGTCTACAGAAATAAAAGAGTTATTTCAAGTGAAATATGTCAGAGCATGTTTATTACAGCATTGTTTCCAATGGAAACACATTCGAAGCTATTTATTCATCATTAACAAAGCCACTGAAGACATTATGGCATATTTATTTTGTGGCATACTCGGCAATTTTTAAAAAGCATGAACTTAGTCTATGTGTGATGTCCTGAAAGGATGTCTATGATGTGAACAGGGGAAAAATAAAAGCAGCCTTGCAGAGCGACATGTATTACGAGATTTCTTCAAATAGAAAAAAAACAAAGAATAAACCTCTAATCATTGAACAAACATGTTTGAAACAGGACTGCTTAATAGAAAAATAAAAGAGGGGAAGGGATGTTTACAAATACTTGTGAATTACCCAAGTCTGGATTTCTGAAAAGAGCACCACTCAGATAGATAGCTGCTCCTTAAAATGTTACATTTGGCCCAGCCGGTGTTGCTCAGTGGATGAGCGTCGACCTATGAACCAGGAGGTCACTGTTGATTCCCAGTCAGGGCACATGCCCAGGTTGCGGGCTCAATCCCCAGTGAGGGGCGTGCAAGAGAGAGCCAATCAATGATTCTCTCTCATCACTCATTTCTATCTCTTTCTCTCCTTCTCCCTTCCTCTCTGAAACCCATAAACTATATGTATATTTTTTTAAAGGAAACCCATCTCAGGTAGTTAATGACCCCTAGCTCTCTCCTTCCTGTTTAAAACATCTCCCCAGGGTGGGAGGTTGTTGTTGGGGTGGGGGGAGCATGTTTTAATTGTTTTCATAGAAAGTTTCCATTCCTCCGATTTGCTATGTTGCCTACCATTTGAATTCAGAGGAAAGGGCCATGTTGCTAAGATTTCCAAGGCTCGCCTGCGGTCACATGACCCGTGAGGAGGCAGCAAGAACATTTTCTAGCACCAGTGTATTAACAAGTTGGTTCATCCTTTGGTTCATGGATTTTTTTTCATAGAAAGTTTCCATTCCTCTGATTTGCTATGGTGCCTACCTACCATTTGAATTCAGTGTAAAAGGGCCATGCTGCTAAGATTTTCAAGGCTCGCCTGCGGTCACATGACCCGTGAGGAGGCAGCAAGAACATTTTCTAGCACCAGTGTATTAACAAGTTGGTTCATCCTTTGGTTCATGGATTTATTCAGCAAGGATCCAGCGAGCTCCTGCTGGCAGTGTTCCTCAGCACGAGGCTCTGCCGGGTTCCCAGGGGTGGGAGGTCAGTAAGGCCCTTGCCTCTAAGAGCTCACAGTCTGGGGCACAGCTCTCATGTAGGTGCAGAGTTCGTGCAGCACGTGAGGAATGCCAGGTCAAGGGAC